AGTCCCTATCGCTGATCTTTCTGATTCCTTTGGCAGAACTCTTATCTAATGAAATTTCTCTGAAGCATATTTAATAACAAAGTGTTTCTCCTTTTTTCTAAAAGTTTTATTAGCTGCTTGCCTCAGTCTCATTTACCTTTTTGGATAGAAATAATTGTTCCAAGAACATAATTGGTTGCTTTTAAGTTTGTTTATAGTCTCACTATACATTTATCAAGTACTTGTCATGTAAATATAGTTGGGGCTTACTAGAAATATGTTTTTGCTTTAGAAATATAGACATCCACATGTATTAAAAAATCACTCAATTTGTGAATCAAGGAGCCAGGGTAATAGAACAGTGGATAGGGTAAGGACCCTTACATATGGCCAACTTGAGTTAGATCGCCACACCACATGTATTTGCTGAGCCCCACCAGGAGTGATCCTTGAGCTCCACGTTTGGAGTAACGCTTGTGTATTGCTGGGTGTACCCCCCCCCCACACACACACACATACACACACACTGCAAGGAAAGAAGATACCCATAAACATTAACAGTATTGTAACCATGCTACCTGGACGACAATAAAAATGAAATCAAATGCTCCATTTCAGGAATTTTCTCTTTTCTGCAAAGTCAGTTTGCATGTATCAATACATTGCACTCTGAATCTCACATACACACACACACGTACTGCTACTCAGTTCAGCATAGCAGGATTAATAAATAGAACCAGGGGACTACAAGATGACTTAGTGACTGAAGCAGCTACAGCACTGATGAAAGCTGTAAGTTCCGTCCTCTTGACTGCCTGCGTGCCCAAATTAGGAGATTTGTAGCGCTGCTGTTTGCGCTTGGCAGCTCTGCCATATGTGGGTTCTGGTGCCTTCAATGATTTCCGGCAGCTGTGCTGCCAGGTGTGTGTAATGACTTGCGCCAAGGGGTGCAATCCCCCTTGACACAACTCAAAAGTTGTGCTGGCATATGGCTAGTAGTATGACTCCCTTGGTGAGCACTTTTGTGGGCATCACAGCTAATGAGTACAAACCCCATCAGCAGGCACACGTGCAACCGCTAGTCATCACAGAAACAGCTTTAGCATGGGCAGGGAAGGGAACAATCTGAAAATCATCACTATCCAGGTTCCCACGGAGTATTGTCACGAAACATTCCTTGGCCTAGAAAATAATAAGTAAATAAAAAAAACTGATAAAATAACTAAATCTTTTCACAGAATTTCATCAGTTGTTTTTTTTCCATTCCTCAAGCATTTTACAGTATTTGTGGATGTGGGCATAAACATGTTACTCTTTTGCTAAGCATTTTATCCCTATTTCTCTTTCTTTCTCACATCCTTCCTCCCAATCAAGGAATAACAGACGTCCCTTTTTACAAAAGCAGTTTAGGAGTGGAAAATACAGTAGCAGAAATTTACTTTGTTTTGCAATTCCGAGCCTGCCTCTCTAGAGCTTGATGCAGCTTTTAATTTAATAACATTTCAAATTCTTTATTATGATAAATTTCAAATGGACTCAAAAGTAGTAAAAGTGTATAAAAACTCTATTAGTAATCATCCAGATTTAATAGTTACCAGTATTACTCCAAATCACAGGAATAACTGAAGACAAAAATAGGGCTTTGTTGGTAAGCAAATGTTTTTCCAACTAGGGAAGCATGTTTAATCATCAAAGGGGGGAAAAAGGCACATTCAGCACTACCCTGGAAACCTGCATTCTTTTAATGAACAAATAGAAATGGCTCCCCTTCCCCCAGTTGCATCCAGGATGACTGTAGTTCCCTCTGGAATGTTCCACCAAAACCCAGGGGTTTGGTATCTCTCACTATAGGAGAACATTGGTTTGTTCTTTCTCCTTTGCTACAAGGAGCTTAGGTTTATCAGGTTACACCCATCACAGTGCCCCAGTCACTCCTGTTCCTTTGTTTATCTGTAACCACTTCTCTATGCTCTCTTCCCCAAAGTTAATCAGCTTTTTCCCCTAATCAGACTCTTTAACTTGTAAGGTCAGATTCCTGAGAAATCATTTCTGAGAAATATTTCACTCGGTATGAGTGAAATATTGTCTTTCTCCTCCCCTGTCTTTTGAACAGTTTACTTCAACTTCCCCTCTCATTAATGTGAAGGAACCTTCATGTAGACCATTTTCCTATTTAGATGCGGTCAGTGCTTGGCCCCTTATGCTGCTACTTGATAGTTTGATTGCTGTTTGGTTCCTTAAATAATTTACCTTTTGGTTTTTGGTTTTTCAGCACAACTGACAGTGCTCAGGGTTTACTTCTGGCTCTGAGCTCAGGGGTCCCTCCTGGCAGGGCTTAGGGGATCATTCATATAGGATGCTGGGGACTGAGCCCTGGCCTGCTGTGTGCAAGCCAGCACTAGTTTTAGATGCCTCTTTGTCTGTGGGCCCTTCTGAGGTCCCTGTCTCCAGAGTGTCTCCATAGCACCTGTTCTACCCTCTCGGCTCGGCTGTTTCCCATTTGGATTATTATCACTCTGGTACTTCCCTGTGTTCGTGTCTGCCTTGTGCCCTCCCACAGGAGAAGAGGAGGCACCATTCCGTACAAGCAGCTGTAGCATGCTGCTTGTTCCTGTTTATCTAATGAGGGGAAAATGTGAAACGTTGTATTTCTAGCTTTTGTGCTTAAGAAAGTGTCAGGTGAAGCTGTTTTTATTTATTTTTATTTATTTTTTAAATAGTTGACTCTTTTAGTCACTGTGACAATCAAGTTCTTCATGATTAGGTTTCAGGCATGCAATTGCACTACACCTATCCCTTACCCAGTGTCCGTTTCCCTCCACCAGTGCCCCCCTCCCTCACCCCATTTGCCTCCCTCCTGCCAGTCTCTTCTACGAGTTCTTTTATGTGTCTGAGATTTTGCACTGTGGCTTCCAGTGTTGTTACTGATAGGGCTTCATGCTTAATGCTTCCACCTTTCAGTACCTCCTGCTCCTCCCAGGCGAATGCTTCCCTGCACCATCAGGTTGCGTCCTCCCTCTCCTATCTCCGCAAGTGGCATGTTACCTACTGAATACTATTTCACATTCTTTTTATTTATTTATTTATTTTTATTAGTGAAACACCATGAGGTACAGTTGTAGATTTACAATTTTTTGTGCTTGGGTTTCAATTATACAATGATCAAATACCCATCCCTCCACCAGTGCCCATTTTCCACCACCATGGATAATATCCCTCCCACCCCTATCCCTCCCATCTCACCCTGCCTCTGTGGCAGGGCAATTCCCTGTGTTCTCTCTCTCCTTTTGGGTGTTGAGGTCTGCAAAAGAGGCTTTGAGTGGCAAACATGTTCAGTTCATAGTCTACTTTCAACATGCATCTCCCCTCCTGGGAGGATCCTCCAAACACCCTTTATTTGGTGCTCCCTTCTCTATCTGAGCTGCCCTTTCCCCTAGAATGCCTGGCTGACCTCTAAGCTATGGAGTAATCCTCCTGGTGTTGATCTCAGCTATTCTTGGATATTAATCTCATATTTTGTTTCTTTATATTCCCCAGAGACTTCATCTTTTCTAACAGCTACATAGTACTCCATTGTGTAAATGTACCAAAGTTTCTTTAACCAGTGATCTTTTCTCAGGCACTCAGGTTTTTTCCAGATTCTGGCTATTGTAAAGAATTTGTGCTGCAATGAACAAACAAGTGCAGATGTCACTTCGACTATACTTTTTTGCTTTGCTGGGATATATTCCCAGGAGTCTCTCACATTCTTTGTTTCCATTGTCTTTGGCATTTGTTTTTCTGCCATTATATTTCCTTATGTCCTGCATATGGGAAAGATCATTTTCCTCTCTCCCTCCGAATAACTTCACGCAGCACGATACTCTCTCTAGGTCCCTCCATGTTGCAGCAAATGACATATACAGTTAACTGTTTTTGAACACTGGGTTTTTTCCCATATTTTGGCTATTGTGGATATAGTGCTCCAAGGAACACAGCATGCAGATGTCTTTCTCTATTCTGTTTTAGGCCCTTGAGGTATATTCCAAAAAGTGGGTTTGCTTGGTCAAATGGAAGCTGAGGTCCTAGATTTTTTTAGGGATGATCGTGTTTTTCAGAAGGACCGGACCAGTTGACATTACCACCATCAGTGAATGAGAGTCGCTTTCTCTCTGTATCCACTGAAGCACTGGTTGTACCTGTTCTTTTTGATGTGTGTCACTCTCTGTGGTATGAGATGGTATCTTGTTGTTGTAGTTTTTTTTTTTTTTTGGATCTCTCTGATGATTAGTGATGCAAAGCATGTTTTCATGTGCCTTTTGGCTCATTGTATTTCTTCTTTGAGTAAATTTCTGCTCATCTCTTTTCCCTATTTTTTGATGGGGTTGGATTTTCTTTTTTTTTTTTCATGTAAAGTTCTAGATGTGCCTTATATATCTTTGATATTAACCCTTTATCAGATGAGTGTTGGGTAAATAATTTCTTTCATTCTCTGGGCTCTCTTTGTATCTTTGTCATCATTTCCTTTGATGTGCAGAAGCTAGGTAGAGAGGTTTTAGCTAATGGCTTTTACTTTGCTTCTCAGAATGGTTCAGTATTACCACAGAACTGAAAAATGACTGACATTCTAGGTGAACCAGCTCAGAGGAGCTAGGCTCTGCTCATGGAATCTGAAATTGGTTTGTCTAGTTTAGGGATACCCTTGTGAAAATTGTCCTCTTTTTGTAGAGCATGTAAAACTCTTCACCCTCAAATCAAATGCTCTCTTGAAATTTACAAAATGAGAGTTAACCCTATTGAAATGAAATGTTTTAATGTATGACATTGATTCTTGAAAATGTCTCAAACTTTGCTAATGTATTTCTCAGGGAGGTGATGTTTGTTAATTTTAGAGGGAAAATGTGCTTCTGTTTACAGTAAATGAATTGGAGGGAAGCTTACTTTTGTTTCCCTTTAGTTAGAAATTTATTTTTTGATTTAAATACTGTATTTTATAGAATTTTTTCATCCGATTATATTCATTAGCTATTTTTCATTTACAGTTATGCTCCTTGGTGTCCGTCCTGCCAACAGACTGATTCAGAATGGGAGACATTTGCAAAGAATGGTGAACAACTTCAGATTAGTGTTGGGAAGGTAGATGTCATTCAAGAACCAGGTACCGTTAATGTTGAATATTAGTTGCAGAAGTGAATTGATTTTTATTTTGAGTATTTTAAACATATAGAAATGGCAACTGATAGGACAGTTATCACTTATAAGCATACCAAATCACCTGGTATCAGCAAATATTTTTATATATCTTGGTTGATATATGTATCATCACATATATATACAGATATATGTGTATATCTTATAGATATACATATATATACTTCTTGTTTTGTTTTTATGTGCTAGAGATTGAATCCAGGGCTTCACATATAAGACCTGTGCTTTATCACTGAGCCACGTTCCTATATATATATGTGTGTGTGTGTGTGTTTGTGTGTGTATGTGTAGACACACATATATATATAAGTGCTTTTTCATGCTTAAATTTTAAATATTAGTCATATATTAACTTTGCTTTATTTTTCACATATTTAAATAATGTTAGAGTTAGGGTTTAACAAGGGTTTAACAAGTGCATTTGGCTTTTACATCATTAATTTAGTCCTTCTCACTCAATTTTTTCCTGACACTGATGTTAGTAAATAATAGTCCAGGGATTGGTCTAGGTGTTTTCTTATTCTGCATTTTCTATAAATATACAAAATTCAGTTTAGAGGCATGATTTTAGGTTCTAGCAAGGGCATTTCATAGATGATTCTGTGACGTTATATCATAACCTATCAGAGATAACATGCTATTACTGTTTGTGGTGTTTAGTATGAGTAGTGAACAGTGATGGCAGTAAATACCCTATACATAAAGATGTATTATTATTATTTTTGTATATTAGTATTTTTTGTGTGCTGTCATTTTAAGATCCATGAGAATTTTGCCTATACCAAATGTTTCTTTGTAGTTTCCAGAATGATTTATACTGCTGTCATTTTCTCTGTGTTGTAGCTGTTAGTGACAGTTTTTCAAAGGAGAGACTAATAGATTTTTAAATTCTGAACAGATATACATGGTAAATTTGTATTTGTAGTTTAGGAATAGTTTTGTATATTAATATGAACATTATTAGGTTTTTATTAATCCAGCCTGTTTGATTTTTTTCCCATCAAACAGTCATTTTTTTCCATCTACATTTAATTTTTAACTATTCCATTCCTGTAAAAAGAAAGTAGAAGGTAAATTTATAATAAACATAGAGAGTTTAAAAAAAAAGTAATGAATTACCAGTTACATGGACAAAAAAATATGGATGGTATATTTTAAGATCAATACATTGACAAACCCATGGAGAGATAAAAATAAAAAGAGCCTTGAGCATTTGAATCAAAGCCATATTTACTCATGTGCTCCTAGGAGCTGGGAAATTATAATTAGTAGTTCATTATTTTTGTCTATTGTAATAACTTGTTTTATTTGAAGGTCAAATCAGTGTTACTTCATTTTTACTGTAAACTTGTTTTCATCTTTTAGTATGAAGTTTGAGTTCAATGAAATTAGGTGTAAGCTTTGTTAATTAGTGAGTACCACACACACTTTATGATGAGTGCCTCAGACATGCAGACTGGCCAGTTTTTATACTTGAGTGATTTGGCATACTTGCCCAGAATTTGTCTCATGATTTACACAAAAAGAACTGCCTTTGTGTTGGATTTACATATCTAAAGTCTGAGTATTGTCTTTCTAGTTTAAGATGTAGATTCATATCTACTTTTACATTGTTAGTAAATTGCATGCTATTTTGTAAATGAAGTATAATAAATCTATTATGAATTATTAAAAATTGGTCATTGATTCATAATATTTATTTTCAAAAACTATACATTACATCTAATTTATTTATCAAAGAGGCAAAGTAGTCTTATTTGGTATCTAATTAACAAAAATGAAAAGGGTTCTAAGAGGTTGCTTTACCTCTTAGAACAAAAATTTAAAATAGAGTGCTAGAATTCTTAGGAAATGCTAAAAATTCAATTTTTGCTAAGACTCAAAAGCTAATGAAATAAATAAAATAAATATATATAAAAGTAAAGTAAAGTAAAGGCCCTCCCGTTGATCGTCGATTTGCTCGAGCGGGCCCAGTAACGTCTCCAATGGAGACTTTGTTGTTACTGTGTCTGGCATATTGAATACTCTCGGTAGCTTGCCGGGCTCTCCGAGAGGGGCGGAGGAATCAAACTCGGGTCGGCCATGTTGGCCGCTTGTAAGGCGAACGCCCTACCCGCTGTGCTATTGCTCCAGCCCTAAGTCTTGTGCACACATGGTTATTTGAATTACCTAGAGAATATTTCATTTGAAGATTATGCTATTTACTTTAAATCATGAACCTAAGACTTTAAAATAATATTTTATAAGGTTTAGAAAAAAGTGTTGACTCAGAAAATTTTTTTAATTTCTATCATGTGCAAGGTTCTGTTCCAGTGCTATTGATACAGATGGTAAGAAAATTACATGCCTAGAGAAAAAACAAAGAACTTGTTCCCCAGTGAATTTGCATTGTAGCAAAGGAGATAAACAGTAACTATGCAAAATGGAAAAATAATATCATCTGGTAGCTAGAGCTATGAAGAAAGTAGAATACAAATGTAGTAGCCATTATTTTAATCAGGGTATTCAGGGAAGAGTCTCTTTGATCAGAGATCGTGACAGATCAAGAAGTAGATTTCAGTATGTTTTAGGTTAGGAAAATTCTTGGCATAGCAAACAGCAGGTGGAAGTGGGGCTGCACTTGGCTGTTTGTGGAGCAATTATGATGATCAAGGGAGTTGCCAGTTGAGTGTTTTTCTGCCTTTCTGAATGTCACCCTCCTCAAACTTTCTCTTCTTGTGTCACCAGTCTTAATGGTTGGCCCTTTACTCTAGTACCATGGAGTACCATAAAAGGTAAAAGTAAAGGCCCTCCCGTTGATCATCATTGTGCTCGAGCGGGCCCAGTAACGTCTCCATTGGAGACTTTGTTGTTACTGTGTCTGGCATATCGAATACTCTCGGTAGCTTGCTGGGCTCTCCGAGAGGGGCGGAGGAATCGAACTCGGGTCGGCCATGTTGGCTGCGTGCAAGGCAAACGCCCTACCCGCTGTGCTATTGCTCCAGCCCATGGCCCCCCATTTATGTGATTTTCTCCTGTCACCCCTTGGACTGTCCTGGAATCCCACAGGTAGTCATATGGCCTCTGGTTGAGAAATGCTGCTATAGATTTGTGGAGTTGGATTTAAAAAAATGAACGGCATCTATTAAAAGTCTTGTTGCTTAATTAGCAAGAAGTTTCAATGCTGTGTGAAGTCCGAGAGGAAAGAATGTGTTGGCATGGGGTTGCTTAGATACAGTATATTTTAAATTCATTTTTTTCATTGCTCTGTGAAATAAATTGTAGAATAGGAGTTCATAAGTGGAAAGAAATAGAAATTAAGAAGTTAAGTGTTGTAGTCCAAGGTGATAAAAGTGATAGCTTGAACTCGTAGCAGCAATAGTAAGTGGTTTGATTCGATATATCACTTTTGGTTGGTTTATATGAAAAGAGCTTCTTGATTAATTTCTTATAGTATTTGGTGGAAAGCAAAAGAAGGGAGAAGATGGAGGCAGAATAGATTTGGTGCAAGTTCTAAGTTTGAGATACTTAATAGAATCAAATAGAAATGAGCTTGAATTGTGCACCTGCCGATGCAGCAGTATTAGAAACGGGATAAATTTTGATTACCTAAGGATTATGTGGCAGAGAAGAATTTTGAGGACTGTGAACCAGGGAGCTTCAATGTCAGAAATTTTTCTGAAATTGTTCTAGCAGAGAGGAAAGAATAAGGCTTCTGTGATACTAGAGAGATGAAAAATTGGGGGTTCTAGAAGCCAAATTAAAAGAGAGAACTTCTGGGTCTGGAGATACTAGTCCAGAGGGCATGGCACCTTGCACACGACCGATCGAGGCTTGGTCCTTGGCACCACGTGTGCTTCTTGAGTCCCGCCAGGAGTGAGCTCTGAGAACTGCTGTGTATGCGCCCTCCCTCCTCCTCCCAAAAAAGAGAGATAATGTCTCTGGAGAGACAGTACACAGGGTGCCTTACAAGCAGCTGACCTTGATTCCATCTTCCTAAGTCCCACCAGGAGTTATCCCAGTGCTGAGCCAGGAGTCCTGAGCACCACTGGTGTGACTTAGAAACAGGAACGATGAAAAGAAAACGATGGTGTGGACAGGTAGTATAGGAGGTAAGGTGCTTGCTTTCACGGAGCATACCCCCGTTTCTTATCCTGGCAGTGTGTAAAGTTAGTTCCCTGGGCACCACCAGAAGTGACCCTGAGCACAGAAATACAAATAAGCCTTGAGTACCACCAGAATGATTCTGTACCCCCCAAACAATGACCTCTAGAGAGGAGTGTCTTACATAGTACTAATTTACTCTCAAACCTCTGGTGTATTTTGTAGTGTCTTATAGAGCAGTAATTCTCTCTCAAGTCCCTGGAGCAGTTTTGTTTCTATTCTAAGGAACTATTTCAGTCTTTGTTTCATTTTCACAAAGTCTATCATCTTGAGTGATCAGTGGAAACAATCAAAATAGATACATTGATTATATTTTAATGACTATTTCTGTGTATAGATTTATATTTTGCCACAGATCTCCTATAGTACAGTAACTTAGCAGGGCTACTTTGCCACTACAATGATAATACAGAGTCATTTTATTTTTTTTTTCCATGCAAGTGAAATTTAAAAAGAGAAAAACATTACGAAGTGCTCATGCATATTCTTAATTTATGCCTATAATTCTCTATTGTATATCTAATAGATTTGCAAGATATTTTAATCGAAAATAGAAATATAAATGCTGGGCACTATAATCACTTTGCACCTTTGTAGCAAGAGATGTGGGAGTCACCACAAAGGTTAGGCCTTACATTAGGTTACACTGCATAGTCCAGAGAGATGTTCAGTTAAGTTCAATTTGGAAAATTACTTTTAATGAGTATGTACTCGAACCTTCTGTTCTCAAAAATTAGTTGTCAAGGACAGAAAAGCATCACCTGTTCAGAGAACACACCTTCGTGATAGCTATTTCACAAGATT